GGGGGGGGGGGACAAATCACGGTGACTGTTGATCACATCTGCTGATGGGAGAAGAATAAAACTAGGTCGTAAAATTAATTAGATTTAAATAATAAATGTGAGGCGAGCTGACAAAATGAGTTACTCCTCACAATCCACAAATGGAGATACTGGCCAAAAATCGACAGTATTGTGAAATTTGCAGATTTTCTATTGATGATGTATTCTTAAAGTACAAAATGACTTTTATTATTTCATACTTATAAATTGTAAAAACTTCACCTATAAACATGATGTATCTGTTTCCATGAGGATAAAATCCGAGAAGTAACTCATTTTGTCTCACGCTTCACAAATCATATGTTTTAGACCAGATTAGGTTAAACGGGGTCAAAGTAAGAGCCTCTTATAAATTTAATGCTGTGGGAGGGAATTCAATTCTGTGGGAGCAGCTCTTCCAGAAAGCCCTATTTCAATTGAAAAAAAACCCCAAAAACTTCTCACAATCTTGAGTTGTATTATAGGATTGCAAATTTTGAGATGGAATGATAATAGATAGTAAAATTATACTCATAAAAAAAGTATATTAGATAGATATGGTGGTCCCAGATAGTTGAAACACACGCAGCACAATACTTACTGCTGCTCCATAAATACGGGCTTTTTAAAACTTAAAGTAGGCTACAGGTAACATGAAGGAGATGTGTGGAAAGGGACATGAGAGAGATGAAGCTCACTTTGAACGAGCTAGGAAGTATGGCTCAGGACAGAGATAAATGGAAGGAGATTGTACTTGTGTGTGGCCTATACCCTGCCAGGGGTGAAAAGCATTGATGATGATGACTGGGAACCAATGTTGCAAAAGCAATATAGTGTTGTGTGTTCTGTTATTGTTACTATTGGCCTTGTGAGAACAGCTCTCAACTAGTTAATATATTAATTAATTCATTTAGTTGATTAATTAATTAAAGCTTGAATAAATAAATAAATGAATAAATAAATAAAAAAATAAATAAATAAAAAAATAAATAACTTAGTTTATTTAATTAAAACAGTTAGCCATATTTAGAACAAAATATTTTATGTACCTATGTCTCCAAATCAAATCAGAGGTTGAGTTCTCGGGTGTGGCTTTTTCCCTCCACTCCTGCTTCTTCTTCTTCTTCTTCCTTCCTTTCCTCCTTTAATCGAAATCAGAATAGGATGTCTCCCAGTGAATTGCCCGCAACTCCTCAACAGCGACCTGGGCCCATATGAGAGACGAACAGACGTGTCAGCGGTATCAATATTCAAATCCATGTGCAAGTGCAATACACCCTCCTCTCCACCTCCCCTCCCACCCGCCTCCCTCATACCAACCAACCCACCCCCTTTCCCTCCCCCCTTC